GCTAAGTGTGTAAGACTGGCTATACACAAAGTCCCAAAAATCTCTTTGCCCCTGCCTTCTAGGCCCTGGGAAGTTAGGAGTATACCAACACACTCAACTTTCGTACATGAGTTCTGGGGATTGAACTCCTGCCCTCAGTCATGTGTAGACATTTTACTTGCTTAGCTGTCTTGCTAAGTCAATAGAGAAAGCCTCAAAGCCACCCTTCATGACCTACTTCTGCCAGCATGTCCCCAATATAAAAAGGTTCTACTTCCGTAAACAGCAACAACTGGGAAGGACTGTTTACATGCATAGAGCATTTCATATACAAATCATAGCACCTGGAGATCCTGAGAGATTAGACAATCAAGTAGAGTTAATATACTTTCAGATACTTTTACTTTTAGACTGCTTCAGAAATAATATGATTCCATGTAATTTAGTTTTTTAGTCATACCTTTTTCTTATGTGATATATTTTGATCATGTTTCTCCCCTGCACTTCTCCCAGATCCTCCCCACCTTCCTACCCACTCAACATTACGTTCCTTCCCTTTGTCTTTCAAAACAACAACCAAAAAAAAAACACACACAAAAATGAATCAAATCTTCATTTTTTGAGGGCTATGAGAACAGTGATTTAACAGCAGTCCTGAAGCTCTGAAATAATGAGCGAGGAGGTCTTGCTGAGAATATCTCACCCAGGGTTTTTACTGCCTTTCAGAGGTGTCTTTTAGAAAAAAAAACCCTGCCATTAAGAGACCATCCAGCCTTCCAAAGTTAGAGGCTTAGGGGTGGGGAGGACACAGCTAAGCCATGGATGCTGAGGCTGTTAATGGTGTCAGGTTAAAATACTGCCATATAGATGCATAGGAATACATACATACATACATACATACATATGTATATGTATACATATATATACACACATACACATACATACTTCATTGACTCTTGTTATGGGAGTTAAGATATACAGTACAAATAGATACATGCAGAAAGAGAAATGTTTTGTAATGAAATTATTTCACGCTTATTTCTCTAGGGCCATTACAGAATTTACCTGCCCGAGAGGTGGAATGAGTATCCTCTTCTCAATTAAAGGCCCACAACTAACAACAGTAACCAAACTGCAGCTGAGCTAAGGATCAAGAACTTATATGTTTCTCTTATGGTTGTAATTATGCATGTAATTATGTTCTATGCAGACATAGAAAACATGGCTTCAGATAATACGTGGAGACAGCCGAGAGGCCCATATGCTTAAGCACAGACTTGGGTTGAAACTGCAGTCATAAAAAAAAAAAAAATGGCCTTTGGAATCCTAATCCATTAAAACAAAAAGGAATTTAAGCAGACATGTCAAACAGATGAGAGATTAAGAAACTAAGGCCCCTGACAGTTAAGAGACCTTTCAAAGGTCTGTCAAAGTCAAATCACGGTCAGTCAGGCCTCTTCATGTATTTCATATCTGCAATTGCCTGCTTAGTATTGCTGTGAAGCAGTTCAGTTCTTACATTTAAGGTTAGGAACATTGCTTAAATCCACACAAAGTGAAATTTTGAGAAACAGCAAAGAGACAGCAACACTAGAGACAATAGGAAAAATAATGGTTTTCCTTTTGTCTTTGGCCAGTGAATTCTTTTCTTTTGGCTAGACATGAAGCTGTGGGAACTTTCACCTGGATTCATCTATTCTCTGGGAAGGAAGTTCAATGTAGCTTAAGAGGAAAACAATTCCTGGCCAAGTAATGATAAATTGCCTAGATTGAAAGTTCACACCATAAACACATTTGAAAATCACAGACATCTTACAAAATTAAATTTCCATCTAGTGAAGTTGAAAAGATTCTTTGTAGAAAAAGAGACAAACATTTTAAGCTCTGCTTCTGTGATCTGCATTTGTTGTTCTGTCTTTAGGGCTTACTTGCGGGTACCTGAAAATACTCATAATGGTCTTTCTTTATTGTTTTACCTTAGTGAAATGGATAATGTTTTGAGTGTAACTACTGGAGTTCCTTCTTCATAAAACACAAAATTCCATCGAGGTTTGGCATTTACTCAGTTATATAGACTCTGGTGAAACTAAACACAAAGTGATTGTCTTAGTCAGAGTTATTTTAGGTGATGGGTTATATGTGATGATAACAGACCATGACCAAAGCAATCTGGGAAGGAAACAGCTTATTTGGTTTATACTTTCTTATCATAGTTCAACATCAAAGGAAGTTGGGGCAGGAACTCAAACAGGGCAGGAATCTGGAGATAGGAGGTGAGACAGAGGACATGGAAGTGCGCTGTTCCTAGCTTACTCAACCTGCTTTCTTATAAAACTGGGACCATCAGCTCAGGGATGGCTCCACCCACACTGGGTTAGGCCCTCCCCATCAATCACTGTGATAGTCTGAGTAGGTCTGGTACCCTGTAGACTCCTGTGTTTGAATGCTTGGCCACAGGTAATGACACTGTTACGAGGTATGGCCATGATGGAATCTGTGTGGCCTTCTTGGAGAAAATGTGTTACTGTGGAGGGCACTCAACCATGCCCAGTGAGGCAGTTCACTTCCTATTCCCAACAGATCCAGATATAGAACTCTCAGCTCCCTCTGCAGCACCGTGTCTCCACGCATGCTGCCTTGCCTCATACCATGATGATAATGGACTAAACTCTGAATCTGTAAATCAGCCCCTATTAAGTTTTCATTTATAAGTGCTGTCATGGTCATCGTGTCTCTTCACAGCAATAAAAACACTAAGGTAATCACTAATTAAGAAAATGCTCTACAGGCTTGCCTACAGACCTATCTTATGAAGGCATTTTCTTAACTTCAGTTCCTTCTGTTGATATGATTTTAGCTTGTATCAAGTTGACATAAAACTAGCCAGCACACTTATCAGATATCTTCAACAAGTTTGGCCATATGAAATGTCTTGTGTGCATTCACACTTTTTTTGCATACCACAGAAACTAAATTTCCAATAATAATTGATATGAATGGATTTGTAGAGTGTTTCTAACTCATCTGAAAATTATCTTTATAAGTGTTAACTGTACCAGTTAAACTGATATGTAGTTACTTCAAATAGATGAAAAAGATCAATAATTTGAGTTCCAATATTTTAAATAAAAATATATTCATAATTGAAAACACATTTTTTCATATAAGTATACTCAAGCCCAAACTGTCTTCTGAGTCTCTCACTTTTCTTCATCCTGTCCCTCTATAGACTCTGCATTGCTTTCCCATAGTTCTTAGGCCCCAACCCCCACCCAGCTTTTGCTCTGTTATATACATAGACACACATATTTTGCCTCACACATGCTAGCAAATGCTATACCATAAAATTGCATCCCCAGCTCTCTGTTTTTTAATAGCTACACCAAATTCTATGTCACATGCCAGAGATAGATCAGGTGCCTTCCAAGAGTCCAACACTACCTTTCTACCGCACCTACTATATTTTGCCTGATGCTATATAAACTTAAGAAGCAATGAAGAACAATGGTCTTAAGTAAGGGTTCAAGTCATACAATCTGAGTTCAAAATCTGCCATCTTTTGACTACAAATCACTGTCCTTTAACCTTTCTTGGATTTGAGTTCATTATTTTTAATACCTAATAGAATTGTTCTAACAACTTAAAGTTATTGTCCTACTTTGCTTTCTCCTGATGTGATAAAAACACATTGACCAAAGGCGACTTGGGAGAGGAAAGTTACTATTTCACCTTACAGTCTACAGTCCACAATGAAGAAGAGTTGGGGAGGAACTCAAGAGTGGAACCTGGAAGTAGGAACTGAAGCTGAGACAACTGAGAAATGCTGATTACTGGATTGCTCTCCGTGTCTTGCTGAACTTGCTCTTTTATACAACCCAGGACTAGCTGCCCAGGGGCTACCCTGCTCCTAGTGGGCTGGGACCCAAATTAATCAGAAAATGATCCCACAGACTTGCATACAGGCCAATCTTACAGAATCATTTCCTCAACCTGAAGTTTCCTCTTTCCAGATGACCCTTAATTATATTAAGTTATCCAAAATTAACTAGAAGTTATAGATTATATAATATATACAGTATATTATATGTGTGTATATTTGTCTATTTCTTTGAAAACCCAGTAAGTAATAAATGTAACTTAATGCCAATATTTAACATTATCATTATTATCTATAGTAAAAAAGAGCTTCCATTCAACAAGGTGACTCAGGAAGTTGATTAATCTTTCAAATTACTTTTTTTTATCAGAAGTAAATAATGTTTTCCTTGGTATTATTGTATAGAAAATGAACTCCAAACAGTGATTTTAAAAACCTTACTTTCTAATTCTTACAGATTATCAGTACGAGTATTGTACATGGTATTCCATCACTTGGGAGAATGCATTTCACATGGCTAAGAACAGAGGAGGATCAAATGGAAGAATATACTTCCAACCGCATGCTTTGCTGGCCTCTACTTCTTAGAAGCTGTTCATCCGGGGACTTTGTTTCCTTTTTGGCTGTTTGCCATGGGTGACCTTCCACTATCTTGACATGCTGATCTCTTTATAGGTCAATTTATCACACTGCAGCTTCCTTTGTCAAACCAAATGGAAGCCGGAGCTGTTTAGTTCCTAAGCGGGGATGAAAATCTACTGTTCTCCCATTGGCTGGAAAAGTGTGAGTCAAACTCTCATTTAATGTAATGAGACTACACAAGAGTTTGACTGTTGTGGCAAGAGGGTTATCAAGAGTCCTCTTTGAATAGCTCATAAACTTGCTGCAGAAATTAATGGGATTAATGTACCAAAACATTAAGAGTATCTTGCCTGGCAGATCAGATCATCAACGACTACAAGCTCATATTCCACTTTACTAAAAGTTCTACAAGATGAACAGACTGACCATTGCTTCATCAAGAAGGTTGGTCCTCGAATAAACAGATTTGGCTTTCACCAAACACTGGAGGTACAAATGATATTAACCCCATTATTCACAATCTATATACTATACTCACTCTCCAAAAGTTCAACTTATATACCTTTCATCAGTGTAAATGTCAAAACAATGGTCCTCAAAAACGTCCATACCCCAACCTGTAAAACACGCAAAAATGTTTTGTAACAACAATAACAACAACAAAATAAACAAACAAAAACATTGCATAGTTTAAGAGACAAGGAAGATATAATTACGGACAGATCATGAACTAGAAAAACGAATCGTAAAAGCAGCAAGCATATCCTACCTGTAGTCAGAGAAGGAGCAGTAAAGACAGGAGAGTTATTAGAGAGATGCAACATTTCAAGCTTTGAAGCAGAAAGAAAGGGACATGAGTCAGTGAATGCTAGACAGCTTCTAGAAGGTACAAAGCCAAGAAACCAGATTCCAGCCTGGAGGCTCTAAAACCTAAGATAGATTGCTGACAATTTGATGAGGTCAGTGTTGGACTCCTAACCTAAACAGTATGCTATTAAAGTGGCATTGTTTAACTCACTATGTTAGTGCCAATTTATTACGACAACAATATAAAAATAGTACAAAGAGAACATATGCCAACTCCTAGTGAGAAAAAGAATATACAAGTACTTAATGAGGATAGAGGGTCATTATATGATTTAAAGTATTATAGATCATTAAAGGTAAAGAAATTCTACTTCAACAACCAATTGTAAGCCATGAACTATTTTTAAAGAAATATATTATATTATAAAATCATTACTTATCATCAAAAGCAGAAAGAATAGGAAATACTATTTTTATTTAAAAAATATTTATAGAACATTGACTGTGGAATACAGTTACAAATATTTTATTAAATCATTCATTTACTTATTTAACCATTAAAGGAAGTTATTATTACCATTCTGTTTTAAGGTGATAGAGTCAAAAAACCTGCCTAAGATCATACAGTTTTATAAGAGACAAGGGAAAGATTTAAGTGCTCTAATTCCACAATTCATACTTTAAACCACTAGCTATGTTTCTTTAATAATTTAAACAAAATTATGATAATAAAGTAACTATATATACATATAAATATACACACATAATTTCTCCAAAATTCACTTCATAAACTTTTTGACTTAAGCAACTGAACATACTAAGTATTCTGTATCATCCTTCCCAATTTATTTATTCGCCAATTACTTACTGTCTCTTGTGACAATAGACACATAGAGAAAGAGAAATAGAGTTCATAGATTAGTGATGACACAAAAGAGTAAATAATTTACAGTATGACAAAATAATATAAATAAGTATTAATATATTTTAAATAAAATGGACTCAAGCAAAGCCACCTCTATGGTCTTATTCGCAAACAAATTCACAATTTATATGAGGAAATAACATGTATAAATAAATACTTGCTTGACATCTTACACACTATACTACCAGCATGTAACTTGTGCCAAGAGTAGAGGAACTGCTGTATATTTTGAAGAACTGACAAGGGCAGCAGCATTTTATGGTTCGAAGAAGGAGGGGTTTATGGAGGTTAGTATTTTAAAAAACTATTGTGGCAAACAAGGAAGAATACACTTGTCATGTGGTAAAGCTAAAGGCCATCAGCTTGGTATGACACACCTGAATAATGGGGACAAGAATAAAGCAAAGTTAGTAAATAGTCACCCAGGAAGTAAGGTTTAAAAAGTGGTATTAGAAGGTACCAGGAACCCAAAGTGCCATTACCCCTTCACAGCCCTTTAGGCAACAGACCTTAAGGGAATGTCAACAGCAAACCATAAATGCAAGAAATTTAGGGGATGTTGTTTAAACAGCAGGCAAGGAATGGTCAAAACAGTGCCTGTTGTCCTAAAGAGTTTGGGCATTAGCTTAGGGGCAACTAGAGTCTGAAAAGAGTTCCAAGTGCCACAACCTGGGAATAAGTTACTTTACCATGATAAAAGGGACTTTTTAAATGTGATTAAAGTCACAGACTTGACAATGAGAGGCAACATAATCAAATGGATTTTTCTAAAAACCAGTGATTTGAGATGTAAGGATGGAAAAAAGAGAAGAAGAGAGGAGCAGAGGGTGTCGTCCCCCTGATGCTAACTAGAAGATGGAGGAAGACAGCCCAGCATGGAGATTGTGGGTGGTCTCCAGACCATTCCAACAGTCTTCTGCTCACAACAGTCAAGGAGCAAAAAAGAAAGAAAGGATAAAAGAAATGTCAACCTGACAGGAACAAGAAGCTAAATTTGGCAGGTAATCCTTTGATGAAGAAAAGCTCCAGATCCTTCATTGAGCTTCCAGGGGAAAAGCAGGGCCTGTGCACACCTTGAGTATAGTCCACTGAGGCCCATATGGAAATATAAAATAAAAAAAATAATAAATAAGGGTTGTTTTGAGGTGCTTTGTGGTAATTCAATACAGCAGCAATAGTAAAATAACAAGATTGTAAGATCAACTTTTTCTTTAAAAACCCAATCATATTGATTTAAGAATAATGTATTATGCTAATATAAATTTAACTTCTTAAAGTCAGCAATTTTAAAATATGTTAGAGGCATAAATCAATGTGTTCTTAACATTTTTACTGTTAAATTCTTTAGAATCTAAAAGTCACTAAAAGGCAAAAGGAGGATATAAGATGCAATTATAATTTAATATTTTCATTGTACTTAAAGGTAAAAGAATAATCAATTTTTCTTCTTTAAACTCTCATGGTAAATGACTGAATTATATTAATTTGTTCATACTTTTTAAAAGACCACAGTCAAGTCTTCACAAAACTCTTCCTTAGAACATCTGTATGAGTAAATTCTTGGCTTAAAATATTAATGTGTTTAATTTACAAAAGCAAAACCCACTATGCCTTGCTTATTATCTACATAGTCACTGACTTGATCCTTATTAGCTCCAAGAAATAAAGGCCATGTCTGTCTACTCTTTGACTTGTATTCTCATTAACACTGTCTAGCAATATCCCAGGCCCAGGCTTTTGTTCAATAAGTGAATGGATAAGCTTTTAAGGCAAGTTTTAAAATACTGGAAACAAAGTTTCTGGAACTACTAGTTCACTGTAAAAACAAACAAAGTAAGAAGTACCCATACTGAGAAAACAAATTATTTTAAATATTTTCTGCAGAAATTTAAATGCTATGTTTGCTTCCTGCATTCTTAAGGGTCATCTAACATAATTCAAATTTCCTGGGAAGTTGGGATCTTTTTTATTAAGATATTGTGATGTTCGTAAACCTATAAAAACTCTTTGCACTGCAGAGGCTTACTGAAAATGTCTTCTCTACCCATTTTTGTCAGTGTGTGTGTGTGTGTGTTTATATGTAGTTGTTTATCGTGTGTGCGTGTTTATATGTAATTGATTAGTGTGTGTGTACATGTGTTTATATGGGACAATCACTGTTAACGACTCAAGAGGAGGTGCTCTTTCTACCATCTGAGTCTCTGGGATCCAGTTTGAGCGTCCTGCTTGCCAGAAAGTACCTTCAGGTTTCTGAGCCCTCTCCGTCGCCCTCTTTTTTAATTTCACCTTTATCTTTCTCATAAAAATCAAGTGAAACCAGGCAGGATAACATACAGCTGTCATCTTAGCTGAGACAGAAATGCTGTTGGGGCCAACCATGGCTACACAGGAAAAAAAAAACAGCTTCCAAAGGAAACAAAAATTAAGTGAATCACAGTAGGCTACCTGAGAAGGGCAACATGGACATCTTCCTACACTACCAAGTCAACTACCTGCTCTTCAAAGAGAATATAATCTTTTGAACAACACTGTCCAACAGAAAAATAATGGGAACTATATTATGTAATTTAAAAAATTTGGAACACTTTCAATATAATGATCAATACCTAAAATTGATGAGCTTTTCGTATCCCTTTTTGATATGTCTTAGAATCATGCCCTTATAGAGCAGTCTGTATTTTAAACTAGTCACAAGAAGCTAGTGGCCACCATGCGGTTGATAGGCTACATCTCGAGATACTTTCCTCCTGTCCCTATCTGAACCCCAAATCCTACCAACCTGTAGCTACTGCTGTGTCATCTACATTGTTGGGTCACTTGGTAGAATAAAAGGAGTTTGTTTCAAGTGGGCCTTCTCTCTTCCCCAGCCTCTATTGCTCCCAAGAGCTCCTTAATGAACAGAAGTTATGCCAGGTGTTAAGTGACAGCATTCTGTCTTTATAAATAAGCCAATACTGTACAGAGTGAATGGTACCAGAGTTCCTTATTCCTTTCTCCTATACTTAGTCCATATTTCACAGTTTGAATAAGAACTCTCTGTTGCACAGAGCAATTACAGAAATAAAATACATGGAGGAAGAATCGTATTCTTGTACCACTACCCCACCAGCCTGAGTGCAGTTGGTGTAGGGTGGGTGCGGGGTTGCAAGCATTGAAAGGACCATGAGGGTTCCTCTGAGTGGGGCTCTCTACTTGACTTCCTAAGACTTCCAACCAAGCCACCGGTCAAGGTCATTCCTGCTCCTTGCCGCTGGGGTTGCACCCCACACGGCGAACGGCTAGGAGCTACCTGATGGGGGGGGGGGGGGGGGACCCAGGGCACGGCTTCAGATCAGGGGAGACGGTCAGCACGACACCCACCAGGAGGAGAGGGCGTCCTCCTCACAAGGTCGTCCCTCTGCTCTCCGGCGCGCAGGCGCCCCACCACCACCCGGCGGCGCTGGTCCGGCGGCCCTGAGCCCGCCCGCTTAGCCCAGGCGTCCCGCCGGGCCTCGACACGGAAGTCTCTTCACGCCGGGCCGCGACCCAGCGCTGACCGCTTCGTGACTCTTTTGCCAAGCAGACGCAGCTTAGCCGACCAATCCCAGAGCGAGGACCGTCCTCTTCGGCTACTCGGCCATTCGGCCCTTCGGCTTCTCGGCTCTTCGGCATTTTCCGTGGCCGGGCCCTCGCCGACTCGCCGCAGACCCGGGAAGCCGTTTTCTGCTCTGTGTCTCTTCTTCAGCTACTTCCGGGTCTTCCGTCGTTCCGGAAGCCCGCGAATCCCGGAAGCGGGGCTGCCGCAGCTTCGGCTGGGGAAAGCTCAGCTTGCCTGAGAATGTTTGAGGAAAGGTTCCGCAGACCCCGCAGGTCAGTGTCCGTCCGGAGCGCAGCCGGCAGTCTCGGAGGACGGCCATGCGACGCTCGCCTGCCTGGGCTGCAGGCCGCTCTGCCTTCTGTCTCTCTGGAAGGAGCCAGTTTGTCTCTTGGTTTCCGGAAAGGCAATAAAACAAATGCAGACTCCTAGTCATGTCCCCCCCCCCTCCCCCCCGGTGTAGCGCTGTCACACAGAGCGACAATGCTAGGAGCGAGCGAGCTACTGCTTTCCCTGATGCGACTTTTCAGACAGCCCCGAAATCACCTCCATGCCCTAGTACCTAGGCTTCTTAAACTCAGATGAAAAAAGATTTTGTATTTCAGTGTGTTGGAGTTTCGACCTTTTTGAGAGACCATTCACTTAAACTCATTTTTGGTATCTGTGCGCAGATGTATGGAAGGTTTTCTTACGAAATAGCTTGTAGAATGTATTGAAATTCATTGGTTTGATAAAAGGAATGTGATAATCATTTCTGTTTTTCTTTTGGGATTCTTAAAAGTCGTTGGTTCACTAATTTATTTACGTGTCATTTTCCACACACCAGATACTTAGCAAAAAGACTTTTCACGGACTGAAAAATTTCCAGTCTATCACCTTCAGATTTTTTATGGCACCCTTTGCCAGCTTTTCATGTTGACAAGTTTTTGTAATTATGGGATGACTTAAGAGCCCCAACTCCAACCCCCCTTACCAGTTTGTAGTCAAAACACCTTCCAGGAATGTGTGGCCTTTAGATAAACCTGAGCAGAATGAATTTGAAGTGGCTGACTTTTCTTTTTTCTTTCTTTTTACTGACTTGATCTCTTTTGTATTACCAATTACTTGTATCCAGAACGATTACAGTTGAAAGACCATGAGCCAGGGGATTTGAAAAAGGAGTCGGCAGAATTACTTAGAAAAAAGAACCTCATTTTTTTTCTTTAAAAAGTAAAATAACAGAACATAATAGACCACTAAAATGAAAAGAATTAGGTTCTAGTCCTGATTATAGTTTGCCCCTGCCCAATTTTACCTTTTGGCCTAATTCTCCTCTTTAGTAATTAGAGGTAGCACTCAATCTGTGGTTTGAAAATTGTTCCATAAAAGAACTTTTGTAGAAATTTCCTGGAGCCATGCAGAGGAGAGACAAAGCAAGCCGACTGTCAGCTGTAGTTTAACAAGCACAGCTATTTATGTCTTCTTTTATAACAGTGTCCCTGTTAAAGTTTAATTTATATCTTGGACCAGATGATCTGCCTTTCCTTTGCGCGTAAAAATTCTCTTTCTTAGGACAATTGAACGCTTGTATTCAGTATGCATTCACTTGGTCATTCTGGCTTTCTAAAATTAAATATTCCTAGTTTCTAAAAGCTGCAGACATGGTAATGCTGCTTCGTGTTTATGAAATATTTGTTTCAAGTTTAGTTTTGTCTTTACGATGGGTCATCATTCCTAGTTTCTCGTCCTCTCAGATAGTCTTGTTTTTTAACTGTAATTCATGTGTTGCTTAATCGATTGGTCATAAAGTCCTTGCCATAATTTTGTTTGACTAATTCAGTTGCTGAATTAGCCTTAAAGTTACGTGCAGTCTTGCTGGTCATCACTTCTCTAGTAAGACTAGGAATCTAGCACCATTTGTTCCTCAGGGCAATAAAGTAATTTTTGAACTGTGAGCCATGTCAGATTTTATGTCTGAAGCAAAATTCACTTAAGATTGCGTCCCCCACCCCAGTTGTGCAACCAGAATATAGGTTACATGTTCCTCTCTCTTTTCTGTGAAGGAGGCTGTCCAGCTTTTATTTCTTCAGAATGTGAGAGAAACCTTGGAAGAGAAGCCTCTACCGTTCCATTTCCCCTTGACTGTGAGCCTGTCACTGTCCCTTTTAACGCAATACTGTGGTTTTTATACATGGTAGTAGAGATAGGGACAAGGATTATATATCCTTTGGCCTTGCTAGTGTGGCTTTTTTGTCTTTCCGGCCTATTTCCTTCCATACAGTCAGAAAGTCCCTTTCTACATTATTTTTTTTTAATTCTGTTTAATATGTATTCCTCTTATCAGAGCTCAGATTTCTTTCCTGAGTGAGTAAAGTAAGATAAAATACCATCCAAGTTGTCTTTTTTTTTCTTATTAAAACACAAAAGCCAGGAGCTGAAAAGTAATTCTGTCTCTATCACGTGCAACCCCTGTGTTCACTGGATGAGCTGGCATGACATCTACCATACACATAAATCTGTATTCATAATAAATGATCATGCCACATTTTTCACCCATATAAGTCTCTTTGTTTAGGTTTGACATTCAATCCCTTCGGCTGATTCTCTGACCGCATGTATAGGGGGAGGGAATGTGGATGAGAGCATGGGTGATTTACCACATTCCTTTAATTTTTTTCTCCATCTGTACTTCTGAAAGCTTGGTTATGAATTTGGTATTTTGAATCATTCCTAGGAGCAAAAATTCGCTTTTCATTTTGTGGAATTACATTTGCTTCAAGCTCAGCAACTACCCACCCATTCTAAGTTTGTGTGTGTTGCAATTTTGTAGTGATTACTAGTAATTTACTGTTACCTTCATCTTAATTTTTTTTTATTTAGAGTAGAGATTATAACAGCTATTGTATTATAATGGTTTCAGGACACAATATAAAGGAAATAGTATATGGTACAATTATGTATCATATTGTAATTTGTTCTGTTCTATGATCGATACCTCTTTGTTTGAGGATATTTTCCCATTCTCTTTTGCTATAAAAATTGCAATTAAATCTTTGTTATAATAATTTTCAAGTGGTCTGGAATTCTCTTAAGCAGTTTGATTTTAAAAAAATATAGACTGATTTGAAGCCATTTCTTCAGGTATTTTATCTGGATGTTTCAGCACGCTTGGATTGTAGGTTTTCCTGTAGTTGGAATCCCTGCACTTAATACTTAGCATTTGAAAATAATTCCTTCTGTGTCCTCTGGTGCCACCTGAAAGTATTTATACTTCCAGGCCATTGTCACCTTGTCCGTAGAGGGCACAAGTACAGAACAAGGCTCTGCCACTTCTAGCCCTGTGACTCAACTGTAGTTACTAATCTTTGTGTCCCATTTGTTATTTTTCCCTTGCTCTCTCTTTATCTCTTTATCCTTTTTCAGCATTCTCCAGCATCAGTGCTCACTCTTACCATGTCTTCAATCGGAAGGGGTTGTTTTTTGTTTGTCCCAGTTTCCTCCCCCTTCCAAGCTTTGCTATGACACTTCCTGTAAATTACCAGTTTTGTCTACAGTTGTTTGTTTCTCCAGTAAATGAAGAATATTGTATAGTAAAATGAATTGTCTGTAGTCTCTTTGTTCCTCTTGTGTGCACTCAAACATCTCTTTAGTGTTGCTGCCTACTCTTTGTATGATGTAGAAAGAGCAGGTTTCTAAAAGAAAAGACTATGTAAACCTTGCTGATTTCTTTTTATTAAGTGGGTGATGCTAGGTTAAGGTGTTGGAAACTTTGTTTTAAGGTTTAAAATAGCGTTTTGGTTAACTTTAGATACTGAAACAAGTAAACAGTAGCTAAAATAAGCAACACCTTGGGGGTGAGTATGTTTGCTTGTTTTGGGTATGAGTGTGTAAAATCAATTCTAGTCTTGAAAAATTACCATTTTCTTTGGTTTCTTCCTCTTTCCAAATGGGAATAAAATACACCCCCCCCCCCCCCCGCTCTGGTACAAAGCTTGTCCCTGCTCTCCTTTTTGAGAACTCTGTACTGTTTTTATCATTGTACAATTTTAGAAAAATTACTAAAATACTAGAATTTTTATAAGAGCTGTGTTCAAGCTAAAGAATTTGGAGACCTAATATCCACAGTTTGAAAACTTCATGTATCTATCTTGTTTGTATCCAAATGAGTATTATTGTGATTTATCACATTGTCTCTCTATGAAATATTGAAACTGAATCTTTGTTTGACAGAGAGAGTAACAACAGAATAAGAGCAATTCATGTAGCAAGTTCAGCAGAAGTGGGATTTGAACTTACAAATTTTGGGGTTTTAGGCCTGTTCAGGGTGCTAGAAGTCAGGGTTTTATAATGTATCTCAGCATAGCTTTACCTATGTTTGAAGTGTTCTCTGGGAATCCAGTAAGTCCCTTTCTGATTCATGTCCCATTTGCTAGTGTTGATTTCAGTACAATGGACAGTAAATCTGACTACACAAAGAAGATAAAGTAGTAGAACATAGATTCAAAACTTAAGATATACGATTAGAGATTATTCATATAACTCCGGGTATGAAGTTTTACCCTAAAACTTTTAGAAACGTAGAAAGAAATAAAATGGAGTTACAGTTCCATCCATTTTGATCAGTAGAATTCCTAGGATAGTATAGCAGTGACTTTGTCCTGTGAATGGTGTATTCCCTGTTTCTAAGATGCAAAAGAACCTGGCAGGGGAAGTGGGCGTGTATGGTAACTTAGAGATTAATTGGAATTCAGAGGTTTCTGCTGACAAAGTTTACAGGCCTGTAAATTTAAATGTAGAATTTCTGTAGGCAGTATGCATTGACAAACATGTTTAATGGTAATACATCTAGTACTGAGAGTCCCAGAACAGGTCAATAATAATGTGTATATTGATAGCAGTATTGGAGGAGATGTTACTTGGTATTATAGCTAAACTCCATGTTATCCTCTTAATCATAATTACATTAATATTGACAGGCCCTTGACAATACCCACATTATTATTGATAGATTTCTGTCAATAACGTGTTTTTAAATAAAATATATTCATTCAAAATTTGCACCACAC